TTGTTACTAGTAGCTTCTAGCTACTAGTAGTAAGGCACTTGTTCCTAATAGCTTTGGTTACTACTAGTAAGGCACCTGTTACTACTAGCGTGGCACTTGTTACTAGTTGCTTTCACAGATGTCTTTCACATCATGCGTGTTGTGGCTATATGTTTTGTCAATTCGTGCGTTGTTGTGTTGTCTCTTGTTGTCTTTGGCATTGTGAGGTGTTTTCTTTGGCGTCATTATGGGAGTCAATGTTTGTTGTTTGTCTTGTTTGTCTCTTAGTGCATATTGTGAAGTGTCATTTTAGGTGTTGTTATTGAGCGTGCCACTTTGTTGTGTTTTGTGGAGTTTGTCATCGTGTGTTTGTCACATTGTGTTATTGTTTACTTTTTGTTGTCATGTTTGTCATCGTGTGTTGTCAGGTTTGTTTGGTGTTGTCATGATGTGCCTCCTTGTTTGTTGTTTGGCCTTTTCCCCAAACAGTTTACTGTTTGGGGTTCTCTAGTAGGTTGGAGGCCATCGCTGGTTGTTTGCAGTTGCGGTTCTTTCTTAAGAAAGGTTGGCCACGCGCCATCTGCGCTTGCTTCGCCGCCTTGTCCGAGCGTGTCCTGCCATAGGAACACAATTGCATACGTTTCCACCAACATTTTAGGGCGTCTATGCTGGTAGAAGCTAGCACACTACTAGGGGCTCTTAGCATCGCTACTAGTAGCAAGCACGCTACTAGGGGCTCCTGGCCTTACTGCTAGGAGCAAGGACGCTACTAGGACTAGGAGCAAAGGGTGGTGAAACCTCAGGCTGTTGGGGCAAAACCTGGTTGGATGGGGTAGCGTCCTTGCTTGCTCCTAGTAGCAATGCCCTGTGCTCCTAGTAGCAAGAATGCTCCTACTAGTAAGGCCAGGAGCCCCTAGTAGCGTCCTTGCTCCTAGTAGCGATCTATGTTCAATGTGTTTCTTTACTTGGGCCTTACTTCACTTTTCATTGTTCCTTTTTGTTTCATTTCTCGTCAAGCCTGTCCGTCAATTTTTCGTGGACCCGTAGAATGACATTTGGACCGCGGTCATGCAGAACCCAAGGTCTATTATACAGGCTGTGGCCGTCGCCGCTTCTGAAGTTGCGGGGCTCAACCCTCGTCAACAATTGGGACCGCGACGGCTGGCAGGAAAGCTGAGTAGCCTGGCTGGTACACATGTGACTTCGGGCACCAACACGCCAATTGGCGTTTCTGCGCCCAAAAGGCGCTTGTGCTGCGCATGTGGTCATCGCTTTTAGGATTCTTAATTTTAGGCCATCGCTATGAGGTTGGACGCCATCGCTACTAGGGTGCAGGTCATCGCTCTTAGGCTGGATGCTTTCAGGATTCTTATTCAGGCCAAATTTGAATCGAAAAAGGTCTTGGCATCAAACATTTGACGCTTTGGTGGCACTGGCTCAGGGGAGACAGCGTGACCTTAGGCACATGAATGCGCACAGACACTGAAAACACTGGAGGCAGCAAGCCCACGTTACAAAATACTAGTAACAAGTGCATCGCTAGAAGTAGCTAGAAGCCTAGAAGCTACTAGATCCAAAATACCCAACATTTCAAAACAAACTTCTCCCATCCATGCGCCACAAGAGCGAGAGGTGAGCGGTGAACAGGTGGGATCAGCATGTGAAGGTGAAGCGGGAATCCGGTCTAGGTGAACAAGTGCCTTACTACTAGTAGCAAGAAGCGAACGTAGAAACAAGTGCATCGCTTCTAGTAACAAGTGCCTTACTAGTAGTAACAATGTTCGCTACTAGGAAACAAGTGCATCGGACCTTTCTTAGGTTGGAGGCCATCGCCAGTAACTCCGAAGATCTGTTTTCGGCAGGAGATCTTTGGGATCGATGAGTATTACAGCAGTACTTGACCTGATCACTTGTGCCACTGGGCTGAAGCTGGCTGAAGCCACCTCTCTAGATTCCACAGACCCCTAAGGCTCAGGCTCCAAAGCAATGGTGTTGCAAGGAGAGTGTCTGCTTCCGAGCTTTGAGCTTTGCCCCGTCCAGTCGCAACCTGCGAGTCTAAAGCCGAAGTCTTGGCTCTCCTTAAGGATGGAAGTTTTTCAAGCATCCTTCGAAAGCTGTCCAAGCCGCAGACACTTTTTGGCCTTTGTTCATTCAATTCTGCTAGTAACAAGGTGCATCGCTACTAGTGGCGCTACTAGCATGAAAGAATCTTGCCTAAAACTATCTTCGTTCAATTGAGCCTCAACTACCGAGGCCCTGGTCTTCAACTACCGAGGATGGACATGCAAATTGCATCGATTTGAACAGGACTCTTTTGAGAAACGGCCTCTTCCAGCGTGCACAGGACACAGATGACTCCGAAGATTTCGATTGCTGGGACCGGTATTTTCCTGCAACAAACAATCAGGGAAAAAACACAGCTTCTTTGGAGTTGGCGATGGCCTCCCTAAGAAAGGTTTCGTGTAGCAAGAAGCTACTAGGGGCTCCTGGCCATACTACTAGGAGCAATGTTGGCTATTAGAAACAAGAATTCAACACTAAATTAGAATAAGTAAAACTATTTTTTTTATTTGAGCAAAGGGCATCGCTACTAGGAGCAAGGACGCTACTAGGGGCTCCTGGCCTTACTAGTAGCAAGAAGGTATTAGTAACAAAACTTCATTCCCAATGGAGACTTGAGACTCCGAGGTCCCGAGTTGGAGTGGAAGCCACCTGTCATGTGTGCAGACGGCTCCAGATACACCGGCCAGTGGTGCGGAACTTGTTTGTGGCATTTTTTGCGGCCAACCTAAGAGCACTGGCCTCCAACCTAGTAGCGTCCTTGCTCCTGGTAGCGATGCCAGGAGTCCCTAGTAGCTTCTTGTTCCTAGTAGTAAGGCCAGGAGTCCCTAGTAGTGTCCTTGCTCCTAATAGCAATGGCCTCCAATCTACTTGTTTGTTGCATTTCGCAAGTGTCATTGCAAACAGACCCTTTAGGAGAGGCAGCACTTGGCAAGGAGAGGGTCAGTCAGGATCCCGAAGTGGGCTTGTTCAGACCTAGTGGTGGTTTCCATTCAGTTTGCAATGCTATTCTTGTGTCTTCACCATGTGCTGTGGTGCACAAGTTGTCATGCTTGCAAAGCATTATGCACCAACCCGTTGATCTTCATAACGAAATCAGCCAATAGACTCTTTCCAGAGAACAGTTTTGTTTTCCTTCCTTCGACACTTTCTCTGAAACCAGGCTTGAACGCGCGGATGGCAGCACCTACGAAGGTAGCGCCGGCAGGATTAACATATCTCCCCCGAAATGGTCCTCAAAGGCAGAAAGAAGGAAAGGTCTAAAGAAGAAAAGAACAACAAGACAAAAGAAAAAGACCAAAGAAAAAGGGAAACCAACACATAACAAGAAGAACACTTAAACTGTTCAGGGTAACGTTGTGAACTGCTCAAGGAAGCTTCAGAGATGGCAAGCCTCATGGAAAAGGCTGTTCGGTGCTTACAGTGCTTGCAGTGCTCCTGTGCTCTTGCACTGCTCTTTCAGTGCCTCAAACCTAAAAGCAATGGCCTCCAACCTACTAGTGGCCTCTACCCTAAGAGCGATGCTTGCTGTCAGCATCACGTGCTTTCGGTTCGGCCCCCAAATCACTCATCATTCCGCCCAGGTCTGAAAGGTTCAGATGGGAGCGTCTACCAGGCAGATGAATTGAACCCCCTTTGTCTTGAACACATTGTAGCTTCTTTGTTCCTAGTAGCTTCTTGTTACTAGTAGTAAGGCCAGGAGCCCCTAGTAGCGTCCTTGCTCCTAGTAGTGAGGCCAGGAGCCCCTAGTAGCTTCTTTTTTCTTAATTTTCTTTTGGCATGGGTTTCTTTTGGGGTGTTGCTCTTTCTTTAGACTCACACGATGGTGATCGTGGTCCGTTGGAAACTGAAACCTGCAGGGCCAGTGGCGCCAAGGAAGGGCACATGGCGAGGGAAAATACACCAAAGCAGTCACCTGGAGAAAGCATGGTGGAGAAAGCATCTTTAAAAGGGAACCTTAATTATAGCAATGGCCTCCAACCTAATAGCAATGACGCGGAGGAAGCTTTTTGCTGTTCGTGTGGGGTCCAAGCACCTACTTTTTAAGCCACAAAAGAAACTAGTAGCTTTATTGTTACTATTAGTAAGGCCAGGAGCCCCTAGTAGCGTCCTTGCTCCTAGTAGCGATGCCCTTTGTTCCTAGTAGCTTCTTGCTCGTAACAAGCCGAGGGCAGGAACAACGTTGTTCAAGGATCGCTTCCTAGACTTTGAGGGGAATTCGCCATGAGGATCATGCCATTTGGACCACACAATCCGTGACACCTTGCCAATAGAGGCCCTGTGTCGTGGATTGTAGCATCTTCACAGCACTGCTCAAGTAGCATTCCATGTGCATACGATGTGCATTCACACTTGAAGTAGTAGAGAGGAGCCCTGTAAAGCCAGGATTTAGCAGACTGAGACTGCTATGCCATTACATGTTGGTTCCGTGTATATTCTGCCCACCTACCGGCTTGAGAAAGTGCTTGCTCCGACTCCTTTTGCGCAAATTCAATAGAAACTGGGACAAGTAAGTGCCGTGTGCTTTTGGGTTGATTTTCCGTGTTATTTCATCAGAAAAGACGGTTTTTCTTTGGCTTATGTGAGGCACTTCGGATATTGGGTTTGCAGGAAAGCGCGTTGCGCACGATGCAGGTCGATTTGTTTTCAACTGATTGCCGTGATCATAGTAGATAGATAGAGAGAGATAGATAGATAGATAGATAGATAGATAGATGTAGTTACGGCCCCGTAATGTAAGATGCACCTCAGTCCGTCTGTTCCGCAGTGTTTGGGCTTCAGCTATTGCGGTGCATGGTTTGCACTGTGTGTGGCCTTTTCGAAGGCCCCTTTTGCCGCGCGTGCCGCACCCACAAAAGGATCCGAGAGCTCCTTTGCGGATTCCTACTGTTGAGGTCTCAGGTCGAGGAGACCGTACAGATCCTGCGCACCGCGGCCGGGGCCCTTCTGGATCTTGCTGAGGAGGCGGCTCCGATCCTGGCGAGGGAACGAGTTGAGGCTAATCCTGCAAGCTACAATCCTGGACCAGAACTTGATCCCCGTCTTCCACCGGTTGATCCGGGAGCAGCGGCTCCTAGCGTTGTTACATTGCCTGCGGGTGACGCTGGTTCGGGGAGCAGGTCTGCCCCTGATCTCACTGAGGTCAAAGCGGAGCCGGATACAGAGAGCAGAGCTGGACCACTAGCAGAGGTTGTGGGTGATCGGAAGGACGACTCGGCCGAAGGGGCCCGGGGTTCAGCAGAGGTTGCACCTGGCCAGGAGCAGGCTGCTGAGGGTGAAGAGGTTGTCAAAAAGAAGAAGAGAAGGAAGCGCAAAAGCTCGCAGGAGCCAAAGAAAAAGGAGAGGAGCAAGAGGAGACGGCGTGAAGAGGAGCCTGTTGAGACCAGAGGTGCATCCACAGCTGCACCCCCAACAAGGGCACCCCCCGTGCCCGGACCAGACCTGGATTGCAGCCGGCACCAAAGCCAGCCCCATCCCTTCCAAGTCGGCTTGCCCGGCTACCCTTGCCACCGCCGGCACCAGCCAGATCCGGGCCTGTTGAGCCCGACCATCCACCTCCTACGCACAGGAGTCAACAAGCGGGTCGACGACCCAGGACGCGGGACAACAGTCCTCGGAGAAGACACCGCGGCACTAAGGGTGTGCAGCACCGCCTGCGGGGCTACTACTACGGTCGACGCTGATCACCATGGCTCCCAAAGCCAAAGCAAGAGGAAAAGCAGCAGCCAAAGCAAAGCCCAAGGCAGCGATGCGGGTGGCCATGAGGAGAGTGGTTGCTCGACGCCCTGCGGGAGCTCCGGCTGTGTTGGGAGCTCCTGGGGTGTTGGACCGTTGGCGGTCTGGCGAGGAGGTCGGCTTCAGCGAGATCGGACTGGAGGAGTTGGGCCGTGGCGTGAAGATAGTTGTGACCAAGGGGTCATACTATACCGCGGAATGTCAGGCCGCAGGAACTCTGGACAGCATGACGGTGGAGTCCGGGGAGGTTCACTTGGGCCTGAAGTTGAGCGGGACCACGAACGAGAGCCTCCTGCGATACGCCACCGGTCAAGCAGGAAAGATGGTGAGGTGCCATCGGTGCACTCCCCTGTGCACTGGAGAGCGCGTGTCGGACGACCTCCTACACGTGAGCCGAATGAGGCTCATGAGAGATCGCGAAGAAGAAGACGGATGGACTCACAATCTCGTCATCGTCGACGCCGGCGAAGACGATCTTCGGGAAGTCCGGGCCCGAGCCGAGGCGAAGGACGAAGGCACCGGAGGGAAAGAAGAGCGAGGCCTGAAAGAGAAGACCGCCAAGTCACGGTCACGCCGGAGGAGGTCTCACGAGCGTGGGCGCAGCAAGAAGAAGAAGACAAAGGGCAAGAGGCGGAAGAAGAAGAAGGAGAAGGACCAGGCCTCGAGGAGCAGCGGAAGCAAGAAGCGGTCGAAGAAGGAGAAGGCCGCTGCAGGAGTCAAGGCAAGGCCAACTTCATCAAGCAGTTCGAGTACGATCAAGTTGGACGGTCGACACGCTCGCGGTGCGGCAATCAAGCCACTTGCAGCACTGTATGGGGGGACTGGTTTGGACCCCAAGGAGCGCATTCGCAAGCGCGTGATTCGACGCGCTCGCAAGGTCGCCAAGAAGAGCAAGTCGGGGAAGAGCAGTGGATCGTCGAGGAGTTCCGGAGCTTCGGAGGACACAGGTGCAGAGGAGGTCAACGACCTGGGGCTCTTCGATCCAGAGACACGCCTGCAGAGAGTTGCGGAGCTTTACCCTGGTGTTCTCACCGCTCAAGCTCTGAAGGGGATGCGTGCCAGCTTGCTTCAAAGCATTGGCTCCGACGACCAGTCCGGGCCCCCCCCAGGCGATTTCACTGGCCTATTACCGCCAACAGTTGCAGAGGCGAGCATCAGGACCAGCACAGAGGGAATTGATCACCATCTGCGCGGCGCTGGACGCATTGATGAAGGGTGCGGCTTCAAAAGGGACAGACATCCTATGCCAGCGCCTGAAGTCAATAGAAGCGGTGATGTCGGGCACACACTGGTCAGTGGCTCAGAGGCTGGAGATCTCGCCGCAAGAGGCCCAGGTCTTAGCTGCAAAGGAGGAATTATCGGGGGCTCAAAAAGAAGCGTACGACGATTCCAAAGTGCGCTACCTCTCGAGCCTCCAAGACGGTCGAAAGGGGAAGAGCAAGGGCAAGGAGCGAGAGAGCACCGACCACAACAAGGGCAAGGGGAAGCAGAAGAGCGGCAAGAGTGGCAAGGAGAAGAAGGACGAGCAGGTGAGCAAATGAGCTCCTGGGAGCGGGAGCTACCTATGAGCATTGATGGTGAGGAGTCGAGCTCCTGTGGACGGGAGCTGACGCTTCAGTTGGATGGAGAGGAGTTGAGCTCCGTTGCACAAGAGGAGCTGTTGAGTGGTTTTGGGCCATGGCCGGCAGCATTGAGTGTCGCACAACGCAGCTTGGTGCCGCTGGGAGCTGGACAAGACTCACTAGTTTCAAGCCCGTCGGGAGGCCATGCTCCTGACGATGAGGTGCACTTGTCGGGCACCGCCGAGGACTACAGTTTTCCACCGACCCCTCCGCAGTTTGAAAACGTAGAGGGGTCGCACCAGCGACTGCGCGACGTCACGCCGACTGCTGAAAAAGAGCCTCTTCCGGAGTGCGATGAAGGGTTGAGGTTGTCAGGTCTAGGTCCCAAAGTTCTTCAACGTTTGGTGGAGGTTTTACCACTTCGCAGCTCGACCACGGGTGGGGGGAAAACCGACATTTACCCCTTGCCTACCTCCACGGATCTTTTGAAGGGGCTTTGGGATGACGTGACCGATGAGACTGTTTCGTGGGTCGCCTGTGTGTGTGTGTGTCATTGAATGCCCTTTGGGGCAGGTCGAACTTCCTTGCACTGGAGGTCAACAGCCGCCAGAAAGAGTGTCTAGGGATTCTTCGTGGAGAAGTTGAGCGTTTCTGTAGACTTGACCTGAGACTTAGTGGTTGCAATTGGCAGGAATTCTTCCGCACCAGGGCCATCGACTACCAGGGCGACGAGGTTCGCGTTGCTCGGTGGATTAAGTGGGAGAACATCATGCCCGCATTGCCGTCTGAGATTGGTCTGGTCCCCCTTGAAGAGGTGTGTTCGTTGGGGTGTCGGGAGTACGTGCTTTCGTTTGATTCTTATTTGAAACCACGGAGCTCCTGGGAATTGGTGAAGGCCCCTAAGGTCATGGTTGAGGACGGAGCCTGGGGTGAGCTCTGTAGTGGGCTGGTAAGAGCCGGGGTTTGTTGCTACCTCGAAGAGGACATGGTCTTCCAGACCGGGAGTGGACCACTCCTGAACGGACTTTTTGGAGTTTCGAAGGAGGATTGGACGCCAGAGGGAGTTGAGATTTGTCGCCTGATTATGAATCTGGTGCCACTTAATGCCATCTGCCAACCCCTAGAAGGCGACGTTGACACGTTGCCTTCCTGGGGGATGATGAGCCCCTTCTTCATCCAGCCTGGCGAGAACCTTCTCATTAGTTCTGAAGATGTGAAGTGTTTCTTTTATACGATGCGGGTGCCAGATTGTTGGGTGAAGTTTTTGGCGTTCAACAAGGCCGTGCCGCAGAAGTGCTTGCCACCAGAACTACGGGGCAAAGTGGTCTACCTCGCCTCAAGGGTACTGCCCATGGGGTTCCTTAACTCCGTGAGCCTTGCTCAGAACGTGCGCCGGAACCTTGTGCTTTGGTCGGGCGAGAAGGTCGAAGGCGTAGCTCTGAGGTCTGCGGAGCTCCGGAAGGACCGTCCGTTCACGGTGGCAAACCCAGCCTGGCGTGTCTATCTCGACAACTACGATCTTCTGGAGAAAGTCAGCGCGACAGGAATGGTAGAGCTAGAAGGAAGCGTGGCGCCCGGTGTTCTGGCGTTGAGGGAGCAATACGAAGTATGGCAGGTTCCGCGCAACGAGAAGAAGGCAGTTGAGAGGTCGCACAAGTGTGAGGTTGAGGGGGCGACAGTTGATGGGGTTGAAGGCATTGCGTATCCGAAGGAGGCGAAGCTCGCCAAGTACTTCGCGTTGGCCTGGAAGTTAGTAGGGCAGGAGAAGGCGAGCCAGCGGCAGATGCAAGTGGTTTGTGGGGGCCTGGTCTACTTCTCCATGTTCAGGCGGCCACTGCTTAGTGCCTTGAACTCCGTATGGGCCTTCATTGAGAGCTTCAACTCGTCGGGAGCAGCATACCAGGCAATACCTCGTGAATGCCGTGCTGAGCTCCTGCGCTTCCTTGGGTTGATCCCGCTTGTCCGCATGAATTTCCGGTTGGACATGGACCCTGTTGTGTCGTGCAGTGATGCTTCAACGACTGGGGGAGGCATCTGCTGCTCGGTAGGCTTGTCTTCAGTGGGCTCAATGGTGGAGGCAGGAGGTATACGGGGACAGGTGCCGCATGCTTTGAGTGACCACCAGGTGCTGGTAGTGGGGCTCTTCGACGGCATCGGAGCCCTCCGCGTTGGCATGGACCTACAAGAGGTCGCAGAGTGTGGATACATCTCTGTGGAGCGCAACAAGGCCGCCCAGAGGGTTGTTGAGGCGCACTACCCAGGGGTTTTGCACTATGAGGACGTAGAGCTCATCTCCGACGAGGATGTGGCTGAAGTTCTCACAATGTAGCTTGGTTGTACTGGGAGCTGGACCCCCTTGTCAGGGGGTCTCAGGACTCAACTCTGATAGACGTGGGGCGCTACGTGATGCGCGCTCCTCCTTGTTTGTCCATGTATCACGTATCCGTAGGATGTTGCAGGCGGCTTTCCCTTAAACTGCGGTGCACACTTTGATGGAATCTGTGGCTTCCATGGACGCTCATGACAGGGATATCACGTCAGCTGATTTCGGGTGTAAGCCAGTTCTGATCGATGCAGGCACTATGGTTTGGTGCCATCGGCCGAGGCTGTACTGGACTACGTGGGATTTGCCCGGGGGGAACAATGCTGGTTCGCGTGTCGCGGGAGATTTGATCTCCTGGGAGTTGACGGCTAATTCATCCTTGGAGAACATGCTCGAGGCTGGCTGGACGAAGAATGACCCAAACCGTGCGTTCCCAACCTTTACAACTTCAAGGCCATCCACCTTCCCAGGACGCAAACCCGCAGGGCTCGGTCAATGCACAGAAGATGAGTTGAGTCGTTGGCGTGAAGGTCTTCATCGCTTCCCGCCATACCAGTATCAGTGGGTTCACAGTGTGAGCAACAAGCATGGAGTGACTAGAGTAGCAAGCGTCTCCGAGAGGGAAGTCCTGATGGGCTTTCCTGTCCACTACACGGCAGCCTGTGCCGGTAAGTCTGAACGCAAACTTGCCGGGTACAACGACGTTCGGCTTACTTTGCTTGGGAACACATGGTGTGTTCCTGTGGTAGCATGGCTTTTGAATCAGTTGTTGTTTACGTTGGGGCTGGCGCCGGAGCTTGATCCCCAGAGGATCGTTGAGCTCTGCAAGCCGGGGGCGGCTGAGTCAGTCCAGGGGCGATTGGTGCGGCTTCCTCTGCGCAAGATGGATGTGGCCGCGGGGTCGGCCTACAACTTGGCCTTCAAGTTGGGGAATCTCATCAGCCTCAAAGGCGAAGATATCCTGCTGACAACACCATCGACACAGCTGGTCAAGTTCCATCGGCTCCGAGCTTCGGTCCCTTCACGGCTATGGAAGTGGAAGATTGTTGCGGGTTGGACATGGGTCCATGGCGAGGAACATATCAACTCGTTGGAACTTCGGGCTATTCTCAACTCAGTTCGATGGCGGATTGAACACCAGGGTCATACGCGCCGTAGGATGTTGCATTTGACTGACTCACTTGTATGCCTGCACGCTCTCACACGAGGCCGTACGAGCTCTAGAAAGCTTCAGAGCACGATGGCCAGGATTAGCGCTCTCCTTCTCTGTTCGAACTCGCAATTTCTTTGGGGCTATGTGCACACGGATAGCAACCCTGCTGACAAGCCCAGTCGGTGGGGTCACCGTGTGCGTACGCGCTTTAGGAATGCCTAAGAGGGTTTTGGAAGGTTCGACACAGGGAGAGAGAGCAGCTATTCGTAGGCGGTTGGGTACCTTGAGACAGTTGACTGTGCAGCCGGCAACGCGTCGCCGCTATGACAAGGCAGTTGATCGATTCCTTGAGTTCCTCAAAAAGGAGAACTTGACATTGCCAAGCAATAAAGCCAAGCTAGACCCCATCCTTTGTGATTACTTGGAAGTGTTGTGGTCGACAGGCGAAGGGCGTGGCCTCGCTTGTGACACCTTAGCCGGGCTCCAAGACCTGCAACCGGGTTTGCGAAATCACCTTCCGGCAGCCTGGCGGCTTCTGCGGACATGGCAGACCAACGAGATCCCTAGTCGGGCGCCACCCCTAGCGGAGCACATTGTCCATGCAATGTGCGGCTGGGCCATTTTTAACGGCTGGATCTCGTTTGCAGTGTCGCTCATGATTGGATTCTACTCTATGTTGCGTACAGGAGAAATCCTTGGCCTCCTCTCATCCCACATTGAATGTGGCGCGACTTCCCTTCAAGCTCTCATCAGCTTGGGCTTGACCAAGGGTGGAAAGAGGCATGGAGCCGCAGAGAGTGTTGTCCTAGGCTTTGAGCCGGCCGTCCGAGTTCTTCGACACTGGAAAGGGCTGGCTACCCCGGAGACCCATTTAACTCCATCGCCACCTCGATGGCGTGCCCTCTTCAATGAATGTTTACAGGCCCTAGGCATTCAGGACTGGGGATTTCGCCCCTACTCGCTTCGGCGGGGAGGGGCCACGTTTGGTTCCAGAAACACCAAAATCTGGACCGAATACTAATTCAAGGGAGATGGCACACACAGAAAAGTGCTCGGATCTATCTGAACGAGGGGTTGTCGGTCCTTAGTCAGATGAAGCTCCCTGCCAGCGACTCACGTCTCAAGCCATACTTGACAGTGTACAGAAACTTCATCGCGCACCCAAAATTTTCAACACTTGAGCCTCCTAGCGGAAGAGCTGGGGGGCGTGGAAAGAAGAATTCCAAGAGCAGAAAGGGCAGAAAAAGTGTGTTCCTT